AGGCTTGCGCGGACCCGAGTCTTCCTCCCGCAACGGACGGGCGTCGCGCAGCAGCGCCCTGAGCCCCCCCAACGCACCCGGGAGCGTCGCAGCGCTGCCGGAGCCTCCCGGCCCCGAAAGTGCCTCTTAAATGGCCTGCTCAGGAAGGGGCCCGGGCGTTTGGCGTCATGCGGAGCCTGGCGCTAACCCGTGAGAAGAGAGAGAAAGCGTGAGGCTCAGTCCCCGCGTAAGCACGACGTTCAGAAGGAAGCCGAGATCAACCCGTTCCCACGTCGGGGCTGCGGGCGCGCCTGTTCCGTAGCCCAAGGGGAGAGCAGCAGGCGGGAGCAACCCGCCCAAGTTTGCCGAAGTGGCTTCAGACGCCACCGAGGCAACGGGCTTAATGATGCTGACACGGAGCCGACTCTTGGAGGACTCACATGCATGAGGAACCAGAGGAGAACCGGAACGGGAGAACCAGAACAGCGGCCTCCCGTGCTTGAACGTCTAAAAAAAATCTGCTGATGTGCTTTGCCAGTTTCCTGGAGGGTTTACATGTTTACCTTGTTGGCCTCTGAGCACGGGCAGTGTACAAGCAATGTGAATAAGTAAACACCTTGTGGCAGGTCCCGGCTGGCGTGTTTGTCGTGCCCTGCCTGGAGAGGTGCTCGCTGCTGCTGCTGCTGCTGCTGGCGACAATCCGACCGTAATCCCTCTTCCTGGGGAGGAGGCTTCGTCACTCACCTCTTCCTCCCTCCCTCCCCGCCTCCCTCCCTCCCCGCTTGTCCCTCGTCGCCCGGCCAGATGTGGCATTGAGAGAAAGGGGGAAGCGTGCCTGCCCCCCAAATTTGTACATCTGTCATAATTCCCATCATTTTCAGCTCCACTGCCAGGGGAATGAACAAAGGAAGCTGGCGATTAACTTCAAAGAACTTTGTTGGAGAGGAATAAAGATATTTAGGGCCTATTTTGCAAACTAATTGCATTTGCATATTTATGGGATTTACTGATATAGCAGTAATTAAAAACTATTTAGTAGTCTTAAAGGACACATAACTCAGTTGCTGTTTGCATAATAAACACATCCCTTATTACGTTTATTATGTTTGCATAATAAACCTTTCACATCTCGATAATTCAGAGGGCCATTCCGGAGAGGCCGTGCCTGGATCGGCGCTTTCCGAGCGAGCAGAACTCGGGGCGCGGCAGAGCCCCAGGCCCGCAGGACGGGGAAGGAGGAAGGCGCCTCGCGCCCAAGTTCACACCCAGCGGCAGGAGACCGAGCGGCAGAAGGAGGGAGGCACGGAGGGGCCCCGCCGCCGCCGCCGCCGCCGCCCCACCCGGTTCTCTCCTAGTTTAATTGCCGAGGAACGGGATGCTGCTGGATTCCCAGGAGTCCCGTTTAGCCAGCAATCTCTGAGGTCTCTCCAGGATGAGTTGCCTACACTAATCTTTCTGAACCCAGGGGCGGCGGCGGCATCATCATCACCATCAATCATCATCATCTCCAACAAATAGAGACGCATCGTTCCGGGGGTCTGTTGCCTTTCCTAACTCGCCGTCAGCCTAGGCCTCACGGACATCCCCCCACGCGAGGCGACGCCTTTCAGAACGTCTCTTACTCTCTCCGGCTTCCTCCCAGCGCGGAGTCGGGTGGGGACTGGAGGGTTGGGGCCTCCGGGTCCCCTTCCCCCCCCCCCGGGACTTGCCTTCTCCCGCAAACCCACCG